CAACAGCAGTTGGTCCAATAAAAGGCTCTCACCCCCGTGTCTCTCTGGACAGGTAAGTCCATTCCTTTACTGCACTGAAATGAAATTCAGGCCCTTTGACAGGTCTCCAGATGAGCAATCCCACAGCCATGAGTCACCTTTTCAAACTCTCGCCGTACCCTCTCTGGGCCTCAGTTTTCCCATCTGTACAGCGGGAATAATAATCCTTTCTCCCACCTTCTGTCTGTTCAGACTGTGAGCTCTTCAGAGCAGGGGCTGTCTCTCTCTGTGTGGCTGCGCAGTGCCCATGGTACGGGGCCCTGATCTCGGCCAGGATCTGGGCAGTGCCTGGTGCGACGGGGCCCTGATCTCGGCCGGGGTCTGTGCAGCGCCCGGCGCGATGGGGCCCTGATCTCGGCCGGGGTCTGGGCAGCGCCCAGCGCGATGGGGCCCTGATCTCGTCCGGGGTCTGAGCAGCGCCCGGCCCGACGGGGCCCTGATCTCGGCCGGGGTCTGTGCAGCGCCCGGCGCGATGGGGCCCTGATCTCGGCCGGGGTCTGAGCAGCGCCCGGCCCAACGGGGCCCTGATCTCGGCCGGGGTCTGGGCAGCGCCCGGCGCGATGGGGCCCTGATCTCGGCCGGGGTCTGGGCAGCGCCCAGCACCATGGAGCCCCAATCTCAGCCATGTCCTAGCAGCGTTACCAGAACACAGATAATAATAAGTGGGGTTTTCCAAAGCTCCTCTCCCCAAGTCTCCGGGTAACCTGCGCTCCCCGCGGGCTCGAGGGAACTGCACCCCACGTTCCCCTGGGCTGATGTGAGGCTGGGCCCAGAGCCCCACGGAAAGCTCTGCCCTCACCTCGGGAAGCAAAGCGTTAAAGCCGCGAGTGTACAAGCCAGTTGCATGTCTTCCCCTCCCCCTGCCCGGCTGGGAGTTCAGACGGGATCAGGTGGGGAGGGCGATGAAGTCCCAGAAGCAGGCACAACTCCAGCCCAGAGAGCGGAGACTGAACCACGGAGCCGCAGCTCACTGTTGTGCAGGTGGGGAGCCACACCCTGTGGAAAGGAGAACCCACCCACACCCACACACCCGCACACACACACCCGCACACACACACACACACCCCCGCACACACACCCTGTGGAAAGGAGACACGCACCCACACCCTGCACACACACCCCTGCACACACACACACACACACACACACACACACCAAACTTCCCAGCCACCCCTCCAAGAGGTAAGAGCTTTTTGCATGGCCAATACCTGCATTTCTCTTGCTTGTGTAGCCAACGGAGGCCAGGTCCTCTGCTGTAGCTTGGGGAAATCAACGGAGTGGTGCCCGTCTTACCCCAGCCGAGGATTAGGCCCTGGGAGATTCAGGCCTGGGATGGTGCCGCTTGGCTCATCCCTTGTTTGGACTGTGGCCGCCCAAGCGACAAGGGCCTGGGCTCCGTGGGGCCGGCGGGGGCCAGCGTCGCTTCGTGTCCCGCCTGGGCGCTGGGCTGAAGAGCGTGTCAGGGTCCAAGCCGGCCCGATGGTGCTGCTGCCTGTTCTCCCCTCCACTCCCCAGCCCGCAAGAGCCGCGGGGGATTCTGCCGTGGGGAGCAAGCGCCCGGATTCCAGCCTCTGGAGTCGCTGCCCCGGAGCCGGCGGATTTGGGTGAGGGGCGAAGCTGGTCGAGAGGGGGCATCCGGCCCCGCTCCTGCGACTGGCGAGGAGGGCAGAGTCCAGGCTGGCTGGCAGCGATGCCCAAGTCTGCGCTCTCGGGTACGCCTGTATGCTGAGGGCCTGCTCTAAGTGCTTTCTATCCCCCCCGCCCCCGTTTGTTCCAGTCCAGGCAGGCACCTTCCATTAGCGCTAATGGCAGGAAGGCACCCGCAGCCCCGGGAGCGCTGCAACCCTCCGGGGGAGGGAGGGAGCTTTGCACCCAGATCTGCAGCTGGTGTGGAACAAGCGTCACTCCATTGACTGCAAGGTAGCCGGTTTACCCCAGCTGAGGTCCCAGCGGGTCGTGGTTAGATCCAGCGCCCCAGACACATCAGACCCTTTCTAGCTCCGTTCTGCCCACCCTGGTTTCTACCCCCGAGGCGGGGTGGACGGAAGAGGGATTCTCCTCGCTCTGGGAGCTCTTGCCCCAGCTGCTCCCTCCTCCCAGGGAGACGTGATCTGATGATCACGACCTAATCGGGCTTCCCAGTGCAAGTGGCCGGCGAATCATCGAGCCAGGACCCTCTGGTGGGCTTCTGAACCGTACCAGAAGCCAAATGTGTGTGTGCGCATGCATGTGTGTGCATGTGTTTGTATGTGTGTGTGTATGCATGTGCATGTGCAGGGGTGTGTGTGTGTGTGTAGGTGTGTGTGTGTGTGCAGGGGTGTGTGTGTGTGTGCAGGCACGTGTGTCGTGCACATGTGTGCGTGTGTGTGCAGGTGTGTGTTGTGTTCATGTGTGTGTGTGCAGGTGTGTGTGTGTGCATATGTGTGTGTGCATGTGTGTGCAGACGAGTGTGTGTGTGTGTGTGGAGGTGTGTGTGTGGAGGTGTGTGTGTGTGTGTGTATGTGCAGGCATATGTGTGTGTGCATGTAGGCACATGTGTGTGCGCAGGTGTGTGTGTGTGTATGTGCATGTGCGTGTGTGTGGGTGTGTGTGTGGGTGGGTGGGTATGCAGGCGTGTGTGTGCGTGCGTGCATGTGCAGCTATGTGTGTGTGTGCATGTAGGCACGTGTGTGTGCAGGTGTGTGTGTGTGTGTGTGCAGGCGTGTGTGTGTGCGCGCGCACAGAGCTAGCACTTCGTACACAGTGTGCTGTGGTCTCTCACAAAATGGCAGATGAAATTCAATGTTGATAAATGCAAAGTAATGCACATTGGAAAACATCATCCCAACTATACATATGAAATGATGGGGTCTAAATTATCTGTTACCACTCAAGAAAGAGATCTTGGAGTCACTGTGGAGAGTTCTCTGAAAACATCCACTCCACGTGCAGCGGAGTCAAAAAAGCGAACAGAATGTTGGGAATCATTAAGAAAGGGATAGATAATAAGACAGAAAATATCATATTGCCTCTATATAAATCCATGGTATGTCCACATCTTGAATACTGCGTGCAGATGTGGTCACCCCATCTCAAAAAAGATATATTGGATTTGGAAAAGGTTCAGAAAAGGGCAACAAAAATGATTAGGGGGATGGAACGGCTGCCGTATGAGGAGAGATTAATAAGACTGGGACTTTTCAGCTTGGAAAAGAGACGACTAAGAGGGGATAGGATAGAGGTCTATAAAATCATGACTGGTGTGGAGAAAGTAAATAAAGAAGTGTTATTTACTCCTTCTCATAACACAAGAGCTAGGGGTCACCCAATGGAATTAATAGGCTGCAGGTTTAAAACAAACAAAAGGAAGTATTTCTTCACACAGCGCACAGTCAACCTATGGAACTCCTTGCCAGAGGATGTTGAAGGCCAAGACTATAACAGGGAACTAGATAAGTTCCTGGAGGGTAGGTCCATCAATGGCTATTAGCCAAGATGGACAGGGATGGTGTCCCTAGCCTCTGTTTGCCAGAAACTGGGAATGGATGACAGGGGATGGATCACTCAATAATTACCCTGTTCTGTTCATTCCCTCTGGGGCACCTGGCATTGGCCACTGTCACAATGGGCTAGATGGACCTTTGGTCTGACCCAGGCTGGCCGTTCTTCTCTTATCAACAGAGGGGCCAGTGTTTTCTGGAGAGATGTGTGGGGCAGGAGAGCAAAGGGTGAAACTGCAACATCCGCAGATTTCCTGCAAACCTGAAATCTGACCCAGTTTGTTAAAACGCTGGGTCTCTATATTCTTCTATCATAGATGTGTAGTTCCCAACATGCCAATGCCCTGCAATCCCGACCTGCAGCCCCCCAGCCCTGCCCTGGGCTCCCCCCCAGCTCTGCCAGTGCCCCTCAATCCCGACCTGCAGCCCCCTGCTAGTCCAGCCCTGGGCCCCCCAGCTCTGCCAGTGCCCCTCACTCCCGACCTGCAGCCCCCTGCTAGTCCAGCCCTGGGCTCCCCGCAGCTCTGCCAGTGCCCCTCAATCCCGACCTGCAGCCCCCTGCTCTCCCAGCCCTGGGCTCCCCGCCTAGCTTTGCCTGTGGCCTCACTCCTGACACTCTAGCACTGTGGACAATAGATTTATCCTTACTGTGAGGGTTACCCCCATTTCACATATGGGGAAACTGAGGCACGGGGCAGGCGTGACTTGCCTGTGTTTCTGTGCCTGCTTTGCACATGGGTCTCACCAGCAGAGCGCTGGGCTCCCACTGCAGATGGAGCTTCAGCGCCAGCCATCAGCACCCACATGGCTCTGCCGATGCCCCTCAACTCCGGCCCGCAGCCCCCTGCAGACCACACACAACACAGGGAGTCAGGCTGAAGCCTGCTGGATTCCCTGTTGGACAGGTTTCAGTGCCCCGCCCTGGGGCCCCTGAGCTCTCCGAGTGGGAGGCTGCCGTTAGCGGAACCCCCTGGATAAAGGGGTGCGGGCGGTTCCCAGCCGATTGGCCGCTGCTAGGCAACAGCTTCAGCTGCAGGGAAACAAGGAGCTAGGAGAAGACGCTGCAGAGGTTGCCTTGGGGAGCAGCGGTGCGGGGAGGAGCCTGGAGCCGCAGGGCAGGTTGTCCCATCGCTGCTGGGAGACGGGCAAGGCCCTGCTCCAGTCTGATCCGGCCAGTCCTTCGCGGGAGCCGTGCGCTGGGTGGATGTTGGATGTGATGAGTCTGCAAGGCTCCGCAGGCCCCCGTTCCCAGGCTCACCCGGACTCACTCCCCTTCCAGTGTCCAGAGCATGGGCTGGGGTGGCCCGGCCCCCGGCCGCTTCTGCAGAGTCTTGTGGGCTACGTGGGAGGGCAGGCTGAGCACCGCGGAACTGGCACCTGAGACCTCCCCACCCCCTCTTCCCGGCTCAGTGACTTGCTTCTCCAGGCGCAACCACCTCTTCTATAGCTTCCACATCTCAGGGGAGGCACCGCTTGGGAACCTGCCCAGCTCCTGAAGCAGTGAGGAGCTACCGAGCAAAGGTCCTTGCTGGCCCCAGCACGGGGCACCCTGTGACCTGAGCCCAGTGCCAAGGAGCCATGGCGGGAGGAGAGGCCCTAGAGCAGACAACTGACGAGACCCCGCGGCTGGAGCCAAAGCTGGACAATTCAGACTGGAAAGAAGGGGCAGATTTTGAACCGGGAGGGGAATTAACATTGGAGCAGCTGCCCCAGGGCCAGGGCAGATTCTCCATCACATGCCCGCTTGTCCTTCCAAATCTAGCGCAGCCGGACGTGACGGGCTTGAGTGAGTTTCTAGGCCTGCGGGCCACAGGAGGTCAGAGAGAGCATGGGCCAGTGCCCAGAGCAAAAGACTAGCACTCTGCAGACTGGGGTTATTACCCACTCAGCACCTGGCCTGGCACTTCCCTGTCTCAGTTTCCCCAGCTAGCTAATGAGATTGGCCTCAATTTGCGGATCTACGACGGAAAAAGCGACTTAAGAGTGAGGTATTGTTCTCAATTGTCCCATCTGGCTTTAAAACCTAGCAGCCGCTTTCATGGTGCTTTACTCCCGCTCCAGGGGGGAAGCGAATCCCTCTCTGCTTTTTGCTGCGGTCGCACATTCGGTGGTTTGCAAAGGATTCAACACACGATGCACCAATGCTCTGAGCCTATTACAGATGTGAGCAGCTCGTGTGATCCGAGTTCACAGCTTCCTAGATCCCCAGGCCAGAAAGGACCATTGCGATCTTCTGGTCTGAGCTCCTGGAGAACCCAGGCCCTGGGGATTCGGTTCAGACCTGAGACAAACACCCACCCTGATGTAAAAACCGCCAGTGCTTACAATCCACCGGGACCCGGGGGAAGCTGGGCCGCTGGGTAATTACTCTCCCCAGTACAAATTTGGGCCTTATTGCCAGTCAGAATTGGTCTAGCTTCAACTTCCAGCCGTTGGCTTTTGTTAGACTGAAGAGCTCCCTATGGTCAAATATTTGTCCCCCTGTAGGTACTTAGACTGTGATCGAGTCACCCATCAACCTCCTCTTTGTTTAGCTAAACGGCTGGAGCTCCTGGAGCCTCTTGCTGTCAGCTGGGAAGGTCCTCGGGGGATGATGTTCTAGACAGTTATAAGCCCTGGTTATAAGCGATGTCAGTGGTTTGACAATTGATGGACTATTTATGAAAATGTCTAACCGCCAGGCATACAAGGTGTGAGCTCCACTGCAACCTGGCTGGGGGGGGAAGAGTTATTTCATACCAGCGTCTGGAACGCGGCTGGCCCGGACCGTTCGGAAATCGTCACTGTGGCCTTTCAAAAATCATGAGCTGTTGGGTTTTTTTAATCAGTTTTCTGGGGATCTGTTTCTTTCCCTTCCGTTTGTTGAGTCTTTGGGGGTCACATCTGCAAGCTTCTCTCTACAGCCAGGACAGCTAGAAAGTTGCTTCATTTTTCTTTTCTTTTTTTTTTTAAATGAAAACTGTGAGTCTCATAAAATCACCTGACTCCAGCAGCTGAGGCTTTAAGAAAAACCCCAAATATAGTGAGAGTTGGCAACACTGTAAACAGTGGGGAAAAAAACACATCCTCTTTGTCCCCTGTGTGGTCTGCTTCACCCCTCTAATCACACTTCTTATCTCAGGTGGCTTGGACAAGTCTGGGCCTGAGAAGGCTTTGCAGGGTCAGCGCTATCACCTTATTTATTGGGTGTATAACGGTAGTGCCTAGAGACTCACACCGAGTCAGGGGGGGCCCCGGTAGTGCCGGGCGCTGCATAGCCCCCCCGGCCCCCGACTGAGCGGGGCCATGCTGAACCCCTTCTCCTCCCCGGGTAGGTGCTGGAAGATGGGCTGCTTCTCCTTCCTGAAGATGATGATGTTTGTGTTCAACGGCGTTATATTTGTGAGTAGGCGAAGCCCCGGCTGGTGGGCTGGGGGCTCTGATCCAGTGTGGACGGGGAGGAGAAGGCCCTGCAGGCTGAGGGTAACCCTGGGAGCTGCAGTGCAGAATGTGGCCCCGTACCACGGTGGGGAATGAAGGGAGGCCGCTCGCTGCTTACCAGCCTCTCTCCTCTCTCCCCCAGCTGAGCGGCTTGGCCGTGCTGGGCATCGGCATCTGGGTGAAGGTGGATGGAGGCTCCTTCGTGCAGATCCTGGGGGCCGCCGCGCCCCAGCTGATGCAGCTGATCAACGTGGGGTACCTGTGCATCGCTGTCGGCACCTTCCTGCTACTCATGGGCTTCCTGGGCTGCTGCGGGGCCATGAAGGAGAGCAAGTGCATGCTGCTGCTGGTAGGGGCTGCAGGACAACTGGGAAGGGCTGGGGGCTAACGGGCAGAGCACTGGCCTGGGATCCAGGAGTCTCCGGGACCTCCGGCCAGCCAGCTCCCCTCTGTGCTTCATTCTCCCCAGGACGCAGCGGGGATAGCAGCCAGACCGGCCTTTGGGCACTAAGTGCTCCTGGGTAGAGGGGTTGCTAAGGGGGTTGGCTAGGACGCGGGACATTTCGTTTCAGATTCTGGCTTTGTCCCAGACTCTGAGTGACCTTGGGCACAGCGCTGCTGTGTGCCTCAGTTTCCCCTACCTACAAAGGGGGTGGAGGTCGTGGCAACGTCTGCAGAACCGGTTCCGTTTTGAACCTTGGTCGGAAGCCTGGGCGAGGGGAGGCAGGAGTAGGGGCCAGAGGAGCTGAACGGCAAACCCAGGGTTTGAGTCTTGAGTCAAACCCAGGGGCAGAGCCAGAGATGGAGTCCAGGCCAAGGGCCAGTGCCAGGTATCAGGGTCAGCACTGGGGTTCCAGGGGTCGAGCGGGAGGCAGGTTGGTGCCAAGGTCAATACCGGCAGAGAAGCAGCCCCGTCACGGCAGCTGGTCACATTGGTATCCTCTGGGCGCTTCCCGGGATCCCAGGGGCTTATGGAGCATCAAGGAGCCAATCAGGGATTGTTAAACAACGGTCTCTGGGGGCAGACCGGGGCAGACCGTCCAACGGCGCGCACCCTCTGGGGCTTGCGGATTGCCAGGGAGACAGGCTATGACAGCATGAGGAGGTGGCTGGCTGATCCCTCTGCAGGTCTGGGTTTGAGTCCCACCGTGGAAACCGGTGAGATATTTCCCACAAAAAGATTTTTCCAGTTCATCCACCAGCTCTGCCCCACCCCGCCATCTCTCCCGGTTGGGAGGTGGGAACATTTCCCTCTCAAGGTTTTCTCGGACATTTTCACCCCCCAGATTCCCATTGCCGTTGGAAATGTTCAGGTTTCTGCCCAAAATACCCCACCCCTGAAAGCCAGTGCGGGGAGGGAGAATTGGTTTTCAGCAACCGGTGTTTTGCGGCTTAGAGAAATGTCAGGTTTTGATAGAAAAATACCAGAACTTTTTGTGGGAAGGAGGTGGATGAAAACCTGAAATATTTCTAAGAAATATTTGACGAAAATGTACAAAATTTTGTCAAAACATCCAGGGGAAAAATATAATTTCCCAGCTAGCTCGGAGCTCAGACTCTTCCAGAAGTCGGTATCTCTGTAGCTAACCCCAAACCCTCACTGTCTCCCCTAGGGGCTGGAAGCCAGATTTACAAAGTAGTTCAGAAGCAGATTCCTAGATGCTAAAGCCAGAAGGGACCATTGTGATCCTCCAGCCTGACCTCCTGTATAACACAGGCCGATCGACCTTTCCCGACTCAATTCCTGTTTGAGCGAGAGCAGATCTTTTAGAAAGACATCCTGTCTTGATTTGAACACGGCCAGCGCGGGAGACGCTGCCCCAGCCCTTTGGAACTTGTTCGAATGGTTAACTACCCTCCCGGTTAATAACCTGCAACGTATTTCCAGTCTGAATGCGTCTAACTCCGACTTCCAGCCGCTGGACCTTGTTAGACCTTTGTCAGCTGGACTGATGAGCCCTTTAATAAAACAGGCGCCTGCTGGAATGTAAAAAGTGCCTCAGTGAGTTAGGTGCCTAATTCCCATTGGCTCTGCATCGTCAGTGCCTAAATACCCAGCTCTGGCCCTTGGGCGCCTAGGTCCCTTGCTGACCGTGACCACCTGCGAGCCGCCACACCTGGTACTAGGAGTAGTAGCAGCTCTTGCCTGAAGCCCCTTTGTCCAGCCCCGGGCATGGCGCCTGCAAAGGGGGAGGCCTCTGTGCTGGCAAGGGCAGCTTTTGATCTTGGTCTCTCTCTGTCTCCAGTTCTTTGTCATTATCCTGATTCTCTTCATCGCGGAGGTCGCGGGGGCCGTCGTCGTCCTCGCCTTCTCTTCCGTGGTAAGTTAAAGGCTGGGCTTTGCGAACATCCGAGCTGCCAGCCTGGGGCAGACCGGAGTCCGTCCAGACCCGGATCCTGTACCAGAGCACCAGGGAGTGTACAGAACAGAGCAGTTCGGTGAGCGGCCGCTGTCCTCCACTCCCGGCTTCTGGCCCCCAGGCTGGGAGCTGTTCGACTGCTCTCCTCCGCCTCGAAAACAGGACCTAGGGGGACTCTGCTAAGAGAGGTGGAAAGTCCCGGGAGTCAGGATTCCTGGGTTCTCTCCTGGAGCACCCCCGGGGCCCTGGCCTAGGCTTGTCTCCCGAGATGTTGTAAATAACCATGTCAATAACAGTGCCTTGTACTCACTGAGCCTAGAGACAGCTGAGTGAGACACTGAGGTTTTGGGTCAGTGGCTGAACTGAAATTGTTTTAAATATTGTTTTGGGTTGACCCCAAACATTCATTTTTTTTCTTGCCAAAACGAAAAACTGAAAAAAAAAGTTGTTCTGGGTTTGTTTTGGGTTTGGGTGGGGGTTTTTTTTTTACCCTTTTGGGGTTTGTTTGGTTTTTTCGTTAAATTGAATTAAATGTAGAAATGAAATATTTTGACTTTTTAGGAGACCCCCCACCCTTTTTTGGGGGGGCTGAAACTATGTAGCAAATTCAACCAAAACTGCATTTTTAGCCAATAAGCATTGTCCCCCCCACCCCAAAAATAATAATGTGTCCAGCTCCAATCCTAATGACTTTTCCCTGGGTCAACATTTAAACCCCCTGTCAAAACACAAGATCAAGGGGACACTGACTGGAATCGAAAGGTGGCAACCTCAAGATTGATTGACAGAAATATTTTTTCACACTTTGTGCTATTGGTCTGCGGAACTCTCTGCCACTGGATGGTGCTTAGGCTGAGAACATAGCAAAATTCAGAGAGGGGTTGGATGATTACATGCCTACTAGCAGTAGAGTTGTGATAGTTAATGCAAATAAAGGGTGCTGGAAAGGAAATTAATCTTATACCTTCGTCTGAAGGATGTGACTTTGCCACTGTCAGAGATGGGATATTGCGTTAGATGGACCGTTGGGCTGATCCAGGCTGGCCGTCCCTGGGTTCAACAAATAGAAGATAAAGCTATAAAACATTAGTCTGCCCGGGTGCCTCCCGAGGGCTGGTGCGGTGCCTGGCTCGTTGCACTGGGGAGTTGTTTTGTTGGTCTGCAAAACTCAATAAAGGAAAAACCAAACAGCTCCCGAAAGACAAGACGGTGCCAATCTGTGCATGTCTCTGGTTTCCAGGCTGATATATTCATTGAGCACCTGAAAAACTGGGCTGTGAAAACTTTACGAGAGGATTACGGGAGGCAGGACGACGTGACTGCAATCTGGGACACAACCATGAAGGAGGTGAGCAGCGCGCATTTCGGCATTCCCCCTGGAAGAGATGGATTCGGCCAGCTGATGCATGGGGGGCAAGGGGAATTCCACCAGGGGTGGGGGGGAGATCTCCATGCTGGAAGGCCCCAATTCAGCAAAGCACATTAGCACACAGCTAACTCCAGTGGGACTTGAGCGCATGCTTGAAGTTCAGCACCTGCAGCGGCAGCTCTTACATCACTCCTAGGGGTGTGGCTGGAGGGCTTTTGTGCTCTGGATAGTCTATGCTGGCCCACTGGGGAGCTGGAAGGATCATTTTCCAGACGGGGGAAACTGAGGCACAGAATCTTGCCCGGGGTCACCCAGGGACTCTACAGCTGAGCTAGGAATTGAATGTAGATCTCCTGCGTCCCAGCCAAGCTTAAATGCAAAGCCACCCACTTCCGTTAGCAATCAGGCCTATGTGATTCACTTTCAGGGCAGGGGAAAGTTTTTACAACAGCCGCATCCTCCCAGCAGTCAAACCGTCCTGGACGTGAATCTAAAACGTGGCTGTGGCTGTTAACCAACTGGCGTTCTTGTTCTAGCTGAAGTGCTGTGGCTTCAACAACTACAAGGATTTCAACAGCTCCTACTTCTACCAAACTCACAGCCAGACTTATCCCACGGGCTGCTGCCTGCCGCCCAAGCATGAGTGCCTGGAATCTGAACTGGACAGCACCAAGCAGGTAAGGAAAAGAGCTTAGCAAAGTATTTGCCATAGGAGACAGGCTATGTGTTGTTAGTGTATGTGGCGCTGAGATACGTGGTCTTCCAAATTCTTCTTCTTTTTTAGCGTTCTGAGCAAGTTTTCAGTCTTGGGAAGAAATTCTGTGTTCTTCGTTTTGGGTTAGCAAGACTCTGGGTAGAGTTTGCTGTCTGCCTCGGGCTCTGATTCGTCAGTTCTTGAGGCAGAGTTGCTCCTGGGAAAACTGGTTGGATTGAAATTCCAAGATGAAGGAATTGCCCGGCTTGCTGTCTGGGCACCTCTATGAACACTTCTGCCGGTAGATGCTGCATCTCCACTAGAGGATTTGCATAGCTCTACCAGCCAACCCTGTCTAGTATAGACCTGGCCTAAGAAGAAACTTTCCCCGGGACAGTTTGTGGAACTGCCGTTGGTTTTTCACATCAACAGAGCATCTGGCCCTAGCTTTGATACGACAATCACATCCCCGGTTAACGAGCGGCGATGGGCCGTTGTGGGGAGAGACTGCCACTAGTGCCGAGAGGAGACGCACTGGCCCCATCGCCAGGACCCGCTGTTGTATCTGTGATTCTCTTTCCCCTCCCAGGGCTGCTTGCATGCGTTCCAGACCTTCCTGAGCAGGAACGGGAGGATCGTTGGAGGGGTGGCGTTAGGAATCGGTGTGCTCCAGGTACGCTTTTGTGACACACTCGTGGGCTAGGACTAACAAGAACTGGCTCTGCTACTGCCTTGCTGGGTAACCGCTGGCAAGTAACTCCCCCCACCACCACTCGCCCCTGCTCCGTGCCTCGGTTTCCCCACCGGTAAAATGGGGGACAGTCATCTTTCCTTGGATCGTGCCCCTCGGCATCTTGGCTTGAAAAGTTTGGCGGTGTCAGAGCTCAGGCGTGACGTTGAGAAGCCGGGGATATGGCGGGATAGGAGTGAGTGGCATTGGAATAGCTGTTTGGGGAGCGGAGTTTAAACAGCACCCGGCGTCCCACCAGGAGTGAATGGCTGTAATAGCTTGTGGGCCACTCCCATGAACGATGAGTTGAGGGCTGGGGAAATGCCTTCCTGGTCACACTGAGCTCTGACGCAGGTTTGAGCCCAAACCTTGCTTCCATTCGAGCACACATCAGTGTGACTTGGGTCAGCAACCGCTCAGGGCCGGGTCCCAGCACCCTGCAAAGGGGGGTGGTTCTGAGCCCGAGTCCTGCTGAGACTCGGGTCCGAGCCCTGTGACTTTGCAGTGTGGACACAGCTCAAGCCACAGACCTGAGTCAGAAGGTCAGCGGAGTGCAGCGTGGACGTGTCAGCACGGCTGTGAGACCCGGATCTAGCCATTGTAAACCCAGCTCGGACACTCAAGTGCGGGCGTGGAAACGAGGCCACAAGACCAGGCCCTGCAGACCTGGGTTTACAGTGTAGTGCGGACAGGGGGAACTCTCTGGCCTGTTCTACAGGATGGCGGACTAGAAGATCTAATGATCTATTACAGGGGGGCCAACCTGACCCCGAGAAGGAGCCAGAATTTACCCATGTACATTGCCAAAGAGCCACAGTAATACGTCCCCCAGCAGTCCCCCATGAGCTCCCCCCCCCACTCCCAGCACCTCCCGCCCACCGGCAGCCCCACCGATCAGCGCCTCCCCCTCCCTCCCTGCACCTCCCGATCAGCTGTTTCGTGGCGTGCAGGAGGCTCTCGGGGGAGGGGGAAGGAGCGAGGACACGGCAGGCTCAGGGGAGGGGGCGGGAAGGGGTGGAGTGGGGGCTGTGCCCATGATAGAGCCAGGGGTTGATCAGTAAATGTGTCTCCCTCTTTGTTTTCTTGTTTCCTAGCTGGCCGCAATGGCCGTTTCCCTGGTTCTGTATTGTCAGATCAGTACGAACGGCTGAAAAACAAGATTTCCAGCGGAAACACAAAATGCCTCTCCTGCCGTCCATAACTCCTCCTGCCTTTGCATCTTCCTGAGGTTCACTGCGAGAGAAACCTAACTTTTCTTATCAATCACTAATCACTAATGTTTCCTGTTAATCTGTAAACGCGCTGAGCGATCAGATGGCGGCGACGTCAATGAGACTACAGTGAAAAGTGGGATGGTATCTTTTCCATGCTATTTTTTGTGTCTGTTTCAATGATAAATTCGATCTGATTTGTTTTTCTTGTGGGCGCAACAAGAAATTAGCTTAAAGGTGGCAGTCTAAACGTCTAAAAGCGGAGAATGAAACCAACATGCCCCCTACCTCGTGTTATTGTAGACCCTACCCAAAACACGCACTGACTGAGGATCATTTATGTAGCTCTTACAGTACTTCCTTTCATTTGTCACACGCTTTGAGCTGTGACCCAGTGAGCCATCGTACTCTCATTGCGTCTGAGTTGCAATGAAAAGGGCAGGTCACCCCTTTCAGAGTGACCGATTCAGGCTCTCTGCAAACTCAGGCAGATGTCACTGCATCGGTTACTTCACATTTTGAAGGTTTTCTTTGCAGCCGTAACAGCTAGAGCCTGGCTCCCTCCCCACTTCTTTTAGTGAAAGCAGAGACTTGGGGGAATCATTACGAATTCCATTCATCCCTCTGTGCTCACTACAGCTTTAAACATGCCCGACAATCTGAGAAACACTGAAACGATGCACTTTTACTGATGTAGCACATCATGAACTTGAATTCGAATGAAATATTTCATGTCCCTTTTTCCTCCCCCCTTGTGTGTGTTTGGAAAAGATCCAGTCAACAATGTGTCATTGGTTTTCTGCACCCGACAATGTTTTCTCTGCCAATGTCTTGTGTTTGTATCAATTAAATATCCCTGATCTTTCTATGCAGACGTTGTTAGCTTGGCTATTTCGAGTGGCTGTTGGAAAGTGACGGGGTTCAGGGAAGAGCAAAGCTGTGTTTTGAAGGGAAAAAAATATTATTTCCCTTTGCTCATTTTGGAGTGAAATTCACCCCTGGGATTATGGACAGCACCAGATCTTAAATTCCCAAGGGGTGACTCTTATCCTTCTGGAATTCAATTGTCTGGTTAATTTCTCAAAGGAAGATGGGTTTTGTGCCTATTTATTGTTTGTGTTACGGTAGCACCCAGAGGTCCCCTGTACAAACAGTCCCTGGCCCCCAAAGATTCTAAAGAGACAAAGGAAGGAGAACTCCATTTTACAGATGGGGAAACTGAGGCACGGGAAGGGGAAGTGACTTGTCCCAGGTCACACAGGGAATCTGTAGCAAAGCCTGGAACAAAAACCCATGTCATGTGAGTCCCAGTCCCACCCCTTAACTATCTCCCGCTGAATGGAGATGAAGAGTTGTGGGCTGCATGTTCCAGCATGAGCCACTCAGCCTGCCCCGGCCCCGTGCCCTCTGCTGGCACGGCCCTGCTCCTGGCAGGGGGTAGCAGGGCACGGACGGAACGGGGTCCCCTATTGTTCTGTGGGGAAGATATGATTTCGTTCCAAGCCACGGACCTACAGCGATGGAAAACTGCGGACCCGATAGACACCCTATAGCAGTCCCAGTCTATGGCCCTACAGCCGTCCCACTCTCGGGCCCCTAGGGAGGAAGGAGGCAGACGCTGTCTCACAACGGAGCCTGCTCCCTGTTCCCCCCTCCTCCCCCGGCCCCTTCCAACAGCCATCGGGCGACGGTTGGAAGCCCAGCAGGTGCCGGGCGGGCCGCAGCGCAGGGGCCCGGGCCAAGGACACGTGAGGGGCACGGTGCAGGGCCGGGAGCTAGGCCGGCGAGGGCAGAAGGCTCAGGAGAGCCCCGTGGGTGGGTAACCTCCGGCTCCAGGCCGCTGAACCGGCTCTGAGCAAACGTGCCGGCCGCTCCCTCAGCTCCGGGCTTGTGAGTTTCCATCCTGAGGCCTGGGCGGCAGCCACGCCACACCACCCGCTAGGGCTGCCGGCCCCTGGGTGGGAGGCCTGGGTCCTGAGCGGGAGGCGAAGCCCTTGACGCAGGGAAGGGAGACGGAAGCGCCGGCATCGGCCCCCTGCTAGCCCTCTACGCGGGGCGAATTTCCCCCGCAGCGGAGTCAGGCTAAAGCTAACGGTGGCTGCGAGGGGGGAGAAGCGCTCTCCTTCCCCCAGCCCAGGAGTCACCGGGTCCAGAGACTGTAAAGCCGTGTCAATCATCGAGTACTGAAATCTCTCCCCAGGGGCTGGATTTTCACATGTCATGGGGACCCCGTTCCCCCAAACTCAGTGACAACCTCTCAGAGGAACCACTGATTGTTATTTATAGGACGCACTGACTGGGGCCTCATTGTGCCAGGTGCTGCAGAGATGCAGAGCAACAGACAGGCCCTGTCCCGAGGAGCTTCCAGTCTAACTCGACAAAGGATTATTCTCTCCCCCCCCCCCCCGAGATGGGGAAACTGAGGCACAGAACGATGCAGTCACATGAGAGGTCTGGATCAGAGCCAGGAAGCAAAGTCCAATCTCCTGGCCCCCAGGCCAGTACTCACTAGACCAACCTCCCTGCCTAGCATTAGCTTTTAAATAAAAGTATTTGCCCCGTCATAAGTAAAAGCCTCCAACCATGTGTTGTGTTGCTAGTGGGTTTAACGTAAAACCGAGGTGGGAATGGATCTGAGAGGAAGCTGTTTACAGCAGCAAGTCCAGCTGAAAATCTCTCTGCCGTCTCTCCAACCTAGCACCCCTTCTGCGAGCGGCCGCACTGACCGGTTTTCACCATGGCTCCCTCGCGCACTGGCTATGCCACTCTGAAGACTGTCATGATTTGCTTCAACACCATTATCCTTGTAAGCCTGT